TGTCCCCACCAAAGGATGACATCCTCCACTTTCTCCTCTCTCATCTGCTATTTCATAAAGTTTACTTCATCATTACTGACCCATGTCAGCGCGGAGTGTGTGTGTGTGTGCGTGCGTTTCTGTGTGTGAGTCGTCCCCTGTTTTGTTTCCACATCGGCTCCTGTGCTGATTATCTGCCATCTTCCATCCAGTTCAACAAGTTCAGCCTTCACATTGGTAGTTCATGAAATTGCACAACAGGATATAGGAAGGAGTGTATGCTTGTCTACGTGTGTGTGTGTTTCATTGACAATGCCACACCCTGGTTTCAGAAAAGTGATTGGCATGTGGTGATCATTACTTGTGGTACAGTGTGTAATCGTTGTCTTACTCTAACACAGGTGTCAAACTGACTCACCCCACAAATCCTTCTTCCGTTTCATTTCAGTCGAGTCACAAGACAAGTATTGATACACGCGGTACAACTACATTTTGTCTTTTCCAGAGCCATGCAGTGATTTGCTTGTAGCGCTGAGAAACACAACTGTCCGCCAGAGAGTAATAGTCATGGATGGGTGGCGGATCACATCCCGGATGTGCTTTTGACAGACCGGCTCAGACATTTTGCCCCCGAAGAAGCTCCCGGCTGAGCCGCAGGACGGCCACTTCCAAAGAGAGGTCACCGTGGTCAGCGCTGAACGGGCAAGAGCGCGAGGCCAGAGTGAAGGAGAGAGGAGGGAGGGGGTGGAGGAGGAGGGGGGTGGATCGGCGGGGGTGATGGGTTAGGGGACGGAGGACAGCCGTTACTGTCAGCATCCATCAGGAAGCCCAGGGGTGACATGGGAGCAGGCAACACAGAGGGAATAAAGGGAGGCGGAGGAGGAGGAGAGGTCAGGGTGGGGAGTCGGCCCTTAACTAGTCACCCCTCAGCCCATCGTTACAGCCCTGCAGTACACTTGCCCCACACCACCTCCTCCCCTCCCCATCTGTTCTCAATGCAGATGTGTAACCTTGCAGCTGTTGCATTTCTCAACATGTTCTTTTTTACAGAGGCATGACGGTTGTTTTACATGTTACTGCTTTTACTTCAAATTGTGAAGACTTTATCACTGGTGATGATTTGCCAAAACATTTCCAACACAGACGGGAGGAATATTAAAAATGAGGGAGAAAACCTAAAGAAGATGCTTTCATGCAGGACACTGGAGGTGACTTAATGGAGGGGTGAGGATACAAAACGAGGCACTTTCTGTTGTTTTCTTTAAAGGAATCATTCAAAATTTGAGGAAATAGACATTCATTTTTCACAATGCTCTCATGTCTCTGAAGTCCATGCTTCTTTAATCATTTATTTAAGGGGGAGAATTTCTTTAGCCTCATTATCAGATTGAATTAGCTTTTTGTTCCACTTCATTTGAATCGCTGAATAAATGAGAGACGTGGAGTCAAGCTAGAAGTAGAGAAAGAACAACAGTCAGCAGTAATGTAGGCAATTTGGCTTGGAATGAATGGTCCTTTAATCTAAAAACTGATCTTAGTATCAGAAGAAAGTCATCCTTTTTAAAATCCGGCTTGCTCACGGTGTGGTGGAAATCCCTCCCATCCCTTAAGTCAGCTCCACCTCACCCTCAGAAATAATAACATAATCAGTTTGACTTAGATAATAACCTGCAGTCTCACTGTGGAGACATTGTCCGCACAGTTTTCTTTTTCCCAGAGGGGAAAAACATGTTTTGCTGCTGCTGGCCTCTGCAGCCCAGACATAAACAGTGGTGTGGCCGTGCAGAGGAAGCTGTGAGGCTCGTGCTGCAGCAGGCAGCAGGCAGTGAAACAGGGACCAACATGTCTACAGCACTGTGACACTCAGGTGCAAACACTGTTTTGACAAATCAGGACTTACGGAATGATTCTGCAGTGAACACACTGTGTGTAGGGGGGTTTTAAGCTTTTTCACATCAAAGACTCTTCACCTCCGCCCCCGGCTCATCCCCTGCCAAAAAAGATATCTCCCCATTAGACCATGAACCCGTTTAATTAGATTTAAAAAAAAAAATGATATCCTTTGGATGCACTTCTGAGAAGACCGTTGTTGGTAAATATAACTTGGTTCAGAATGATATAACTGTGAGTTAATGCCAGCAGAGTAAAGAGCAAAACCTGTGAACAGAGCAGTCCTTAAACGTACGTATTGTGCTGAAGATTCGGGAGTAAAACATACTTTTAATTTCGATCCCCGGGGGATTCTGGAGCCCGCTGGCAACTACTGTGGCTAAATATGATTGTGACTTTTGGGTTGTATATATATATAGACCAGATAATACATATGTGCACACAGAGATCAAGTACCGCACATATGTTGAAGAAAGAAGAAGTGAGATTCTGTGGAGTGGAGTGAAAGGAAAATGTACCATTAAAGGTACAGTGTGTAGCATTTAGGGGGATCTATTGGTAGAATATGTACAGTGTGTATATATATATATATATATATATCCTCGTCATAGAGTCCGCCATGTGTCTGTAGCCTACAACAGTCCAGCGAAACACTGGCACTCTAGATCGGTCTATTTGCGTTTTTGTCTGTTCACGGCAGCCACAGGTCTACACGCTGAAGCACATGAGAGAAGTTTCAGTTTTTTGCAATCTGCAACGTCACCGCTAGATGCCACCACACACTGGCACGCTGACACGAGAAGATCAATACCACGTTTCTGTCTGGTCAATATGAACCTGCAGACAAAACGGCCATATTAGCTTAGCATAAAGACTGGAAACAGCTAGCCTGGCTCCGTCAGAAAGTAATAAAATCTGCATACCAGCATAATGCTAACATGCTATGTGTTGTTTCTTTAATCTACACAAAAATTAAAGTGTAAAAATAATTTGCGTTTTTTTGCAGGAACAATTTTTTGGCTTCTCTACTGGTTACCTGGCAACCTCACAGTGACAGTGACGAGGAAGTTACTTCCTGGAAAGACGCCTGACTCACTACCCCCCTTTAAAACCACATGGGCTGTTTTCATTCTTCATTTTGTATTAATCACACAGATATAATGTGCAGAGGTGCTGGTTAGCAGTTTAGATTTTGTTTAGACTGAGCCAGGCTAGCTGTTTCCAGCCTTTATGCTAAGCTAGGCTAGACAGATGCTTGTGGTAGCTTCATATTTATCATAAAAACATGCGATTAGCATTAATCTGGACATTTAACACTCTGCAAATTTACCCAAAATGGCAAATTTCCTGTAGATAAAGATGAAGAAATATGTTATCAACTGGGTGCTTTAAACACAAACACACACACACACACACACACACACACACACACACACACACGCACACATACCAGCACTCCCAAACAAGTCTTTCTTTTCTGCCATCCATCTTGATACCATTACGCTGTCAGACAGACCATTAACAAACAGTTGATTCATTGTGGGCCAGACAATACTGATAAAGTGGTCTTGTTTAAACAAAGTCAGTACAGCAGATGGCCAGAAAGATACTGTCTGTGATTGTTACGGAGAGAGAGAACCAGCCTGTATCCGACAAGAGCTGATAGACAGACACACACACACACACACACACACGGAGAACCAGACAGACAGGTCCTTATGCACAGAGAGTTCTTCTTGTAAAGCTGGGTGTGTAAGACAGGGAGTGCCCGAAAGGCACACACAAGCAGACACAGACACTACAGACAAAAACAAATGTGAAAGTACAGGGTTAGAATTGGTACAATAAACACTGAGTGGAGTCACGTGCGTTTACTCAGTTGTTGGATCAGTTACTGTCGTATGTGCGCCGGTGTGTATTTCACTCAACAATATTTTGTTTCCATCGTGTCTTTCAACTGCTGCTCTGTATCCCTTATCATCCATCAGTGTTTTCTTGACTGCGCACGGACTAAATGTCACTATTTAAATGGAAATTCCAGTTTTGTACAACTTTGTCACATATTCAAAGCTTCGTTGACATTGGTAACGATAACAATGTACGCGTTAAGTTGATTGCTGAGATTCCTGTGACATCACTAAAAAGTCAGACGATAAGAAACAAAGCTCCCAGGTTAGTCTCTCAGTTGGAAAACAAAGACAAACAGTCAAATTAACTCTCTGTTGTTATCTACCACAGTTTAAAGTCCAACTTCCTGGTTCAACTTTGATCTACTGTACTTACAGCAGACTTATACGCACACAGTTTTACTGCATAATAAAAGGTAATCACTGAGGTTTCAGGTGGGCACACCTTCACCTTTACCTCAAAATGAAGTGGTGTTGACGGTCTGGCTAACAGCTTGTGTTTCTCTCCCTGTTGGACTCTATTATAGTGAGCTCACCATGTTCCCAGATGTCAGAGTACAATGTTATTACAAACGATGAGAATGATGATCAAAACTACAAACATATGACCTAATTATCCTTTAGTTGTAGGGTATATATGGAATATGGGCTGCCTCTTCTAAAAACCTAGCGTCAACAAGTTTGCTTCATGAGACGAGCTGATGCGAGGAAACTGATTGTGATGAAGCAGAAATCTTTAGGAAACTCAATCCACCGGACTGCAGTTCAAAAACCAGAGCAGTAGGAGGAAGCTTTCACAACAGATGTTCAGCGCCTGCTTGTAGCTAACAGGAATCTGCAATGCTTCATGCGTTTCTTGTGGCTTGCGTCTCTGTCATAACAGAGCAAACATTCGGAGATTTCAGATGGGGCAGATTCCAAGAAACTCGTCTGTGAAAGTTTATTTTCTTCCCACATTTCTGTTTGTTTCTTTCATTTTTTTTCTCAGTTTCCGGAGCACATTTCTTTTCCACAGAATCCCACAAACTGAAAATACACAGCGGCAAATGCATACGAGCGTGTTTGATAAGTGAAATGTGCAAACACACGTTAACTTGTGGCAAATATGGTCAGATGGTTTGTGAGGAGCTGCAGCGTAGATTTCCGTCTTCATTTAGAGAGTTTCAGTAAGCCCGTCTGCTCCTGGTTCTAGAGAAACACGCTCACAAACACAGTTCTTTGAAATCCTCCCCCACACTTGTGTTTTCACACTTAATGACAAAAACACAAACCGCATTTCCCCTGAAGCCAGCACAAAGACAGGAATGTGTTGACCTTTGTAAAAGCTGACTTGGGGGGAAACAGGAAACAGAGAGCTCTGGTGGACAACTAGCCACCAGTGGCCAGGCCTCTTCTCTGTTGCTTGATCTCGTCTGATTTGCTGATACTGCTGCTGGCCTTTGATGCTGGTCAAGTGATAATCAGGGGAACTACAGCATTTCTGGGTCACTGAAACTTGCAATGACTCAGTTAAACAGAAAAACAAGCACTTACTTGTGCATCTTTGTGGAAAGCGTGGCATGACGCAGCTTTAAGAGTTTTCCTTTGTATTCTCTTATCAGCACCATACATGTGTTTTTTATTGCTGTATCAGGTCATGATATCTCTGCTGATAATGATTATGTAATACCCAACTTAACGTGATAGATGTAGACACATGTCACATCTATTGTGAAGCTAATTGCTTTGTGTTATAGTACATACCTTCTAATCTCCAGGCCGTTGAACTGACAGCGAATGTGCCTGAGTCAGCAGGATGGTATCTTTGACTGTGGCGAGGAGCCAGAGCATTTAAGCCTGCAGCACCTCTCCATATTGTTCTGTCCGCCACACAACAAAACCAGGGCCTCCGTTGCAAATTATAGCCAAGAGCGGCACTGAGCTGCAGACAGACGGGGCAGGTCAGGGGTCTGCTGGTGTACAAGTCCTTCAGTCACGCCAACATTTCTTTGCTTCTATTCGGGATTTGGATTTGTCGCTGTTGCGCTATATCTCGAATAATGACCAGCGAGGAGGAGGCCGGACCGTTTGATACCCTGACGACAGCTGTCGCAGAGGTGGGTTAGTGTCCGTCCAGACTCTCTGAACTACTTGTTTGTTGTGTTGGTCATTTTATTACATTGTGTTGAAGTGATTTGGTAAAACAGCATTTCTAATGTGACTGCTAGGACACTCGGGATGATGATTCAAGGTCCAGACAGGAAAAAGAGGAGAAGCTGATCCTGACAGCCTGGCAGAGCATGGTGAGCACACGAGGACAGAAAGTCCAGATAACTGTGTCCCGAAAGACTTTCAATCAATTTCAATGAAGGGATGTTCATCAGAAGTACATGCGTCAAAAGTATTCAGTTATTCAAAACCTGCAGTCCACAAGTGGTTGCGTAGATGACACAATAAAGGCTGATTTGTTTTTTGATGCCTTTTTTCTCAACAATTTGGTATGTTATGGTCAATTCCCCTGTACTGTCTCTTTGTCACTGGTAAGTCCACGGGATGGGAAGGATGTGAACAGCCAAGTGTTTTCTCTGATACTCAAAGTATTGTCTTTAAACCCACAAGCGCGGAGCTTCATCTGACGGGCGGATCGTTCCCGCTATCCCTCACTGGCTTCCCACAAGCAAGCCCCTTAATGATTGAGCCCTGGTCTTGTTTTAATGCACATTTTACTCTGTGTTTGGAAATGTTTTTTGTTCACTCGTAGAGCTGTTATGGCTCTAAGGCAAACGTTACACTCGGTCTTAATGCTGCTACAGTGGTGGTAGCAGCAGCAGAAGTAGCAGAACTCGTTATTATTTATGATAACAGGTCTCAGTCCGGTGTGGTTAACAGGCCTAAATTATAGTACTGTCGTGTTTCCACTAACAGCTGACAGTTGTGTTTGCCTCTTGCAGTCTTCAGCTCTGCGGCAGCACAGTCTGTATAAGGATTCCAGAGCTCCAGGCCCGGCTCAGTCTTTCCTGGCCGAGCAGAGGCAGTCCACCCGGGCCAGGAGGGCGCTCTCCCCCCGGCTGCAGCCCGGGTAGGAGCCTCCATCCGCAGGGAGAAATGGAGGAGGTCAGCCCACTCATGGCCATGCTGGGATGCAAGGTTGTGGAAGAAGGTGTCAATTTTCTGTAATTTGTTTTTCATTGAATTACAGGCTGTACTCTGTTTGGTTTGCTGCTATCACCTCCTGCTGGTCAATGTTGGAATCTGCAGTGATATTTGTGATTCCATGTAAAAACTAAGGGCTATAAATCACTGTTTTTATATGTTTTATACCTAAATGTGTGCTTGTCAATACGATTTTCTGCTTCATTCCTTATTATATAATATTTATACATTTATTTTTGCAGGTAAGATACAGAAATAATGCAAAACAATTACTATTAATTCCGTCACTAATGTAAATCGGTTATGTTATCTCATTTGTTTTATTCAATAGTTGTTTAAATTGAAAATACAACAGACAATGCATGAAAAATCATTTTATTTACACTTTTATTAGCTAATAAAAGAAAATAAAGTGAAACTGTCACTCATTTTATCTGTTTCAGCACCATTTGTTTCGGTCCAAACTTTGGTTAATGCTAAGATACTTGTGCAGACTTCAGTAGTCAGGCAATATATTTATACTCTTCAATATAATGTGCAGACAATTGGAAAACCAGAAACATTTTCTTCCTTTAAACACAAACCTGAATGGTCTCATCTCCTCTGTACACATGTAGCTTTGACATGTTTAGCCTAGCTTAGCACAAAGACTGAAAGTAGGGGGAAACATCTAGCTTAGCTCTACCAAAGGTTCCTTTGAACAACTCCAAAGCTGTTTCACTGTGTTTGTATTTACTGTATTTAACAATCGTAGAACTAAAAAAAGGAGCTGCTGGTTTAATTACTACGAAGCTAGCTTAATTATTAAGCTAACTGCCACATGACACCTCCGATGTCCTGTCTCATGGTGAACTCTGAACTAATGAGGATGCCTCGGTGAGTAATTTGCTAGATACTAAGATACAACATGTAAAGAAACTTTTGGAGTCGCCTCCTATCATCCTCTTTTTGATGGAGGCCATCCTCCCCCTGCCTCTAGTCTTGGTGCTAAGCTAGGCTAAACGTAATGTTCCTCCCAGTTCACAGAAACTTAGTACAGTTCACATTTTACTCTCAGACACCATCAGTTAAAAGGGACGGTCATTGGGAAATATGGGGAGCTGTTGCTTTCTTCGACATCATTTTTCTTTTTTAATTTAAAAACTGACAGGATTCTATTTCAAAAGTGCTGCAGATTCAAAGTGAAAGTGGCAGCACAGTTTTGTATTTATGACTAATGTCCCTGGTGAAAACGAGAACAGGGTTTCAAACAGCCAACAGTTCATTGGAACATCACGACCCATCGTCCGCCTAAGACCCAGTGAACTCTGATCCCATGCTCACGCTGCGGAAGCGCTGAGGTTCGTCGTAAGACGGCACGGTGAGGAAGGACACTTTGTTTCCACCGAAGGGAGGTTTGGGAATAGCGGGCACGGCTCTGTTCTGGTTGATGGCCGGCTGGGAGCTGCAGTGCTCCAAACTGGAGTGGGCAGCCGGGTGAAACAGGAAGGCAGAGGGGTGACGGGAGGTGAAGGGAATGGCGGAGGCTGATTGGGTGGACGTCTCTCTCGAGGAATCGGGGGGAGGAGGAAGCAGTGATGAAGGAGCTTGGATCTCCCCACTTGTACTCTCTACTTCCCTTCTTTCCTCTGTCATCTGCCACTCTTCCTCACTCCACCCCTCTACTGCCCTCACTCCCTTCTTCTCATTGACAGCAGGGTGCCCTCCTCGCCTCTCCTGCCGCTCCTCCCCAAACTGAATCTCCAGCAGAGGCGTTCTAGCGCTCTTCTCCTCCCTGAAACTGCACACGGTGCTCTGGGGTTCCTGCCCCAGCCCTGACGGCAGAGACCCACCTTTACCTACTTTAACACTTTCATCATCCTCATCATCGCTGGTGCATTGGTCAATGCTGGGAGAGTGGCGTAGCCTCTGGACTTGTGCTGAGGTGCGGCGAAAGGCCCCTCCCATGAAGCCGGTGGGGGAAGGGGCCACGTTGAGCAGGCGGTTGAAGAGGGCCATGTTGGGGTGATGACTGCCTGACTCCTCCAGGTTCTCAGCAATGTCCTCCAGAGGCTGGAAGTGCATCTCCTCTTTAGGGATCCTGTCAAGAGAAGTCACGGTAATTTACCTCTTATTTACCTGAAAAAACATTACAGTGGTTTGGACATTTTTGACCTTCTCAGCACGGATTATTTCACACTACTTCAGGCAGAATACTTTCACTTTCATCACCCAAACTTTCCCAGCCAGTGGGGGGATTCAAACTGAAAGTATCACAGTCACAGGTCGAGCACACGTTAGACCGAGAAGGTAAAAGTCAGAGACTCACGCCATGTCGAAAGTGGACCCCTGGAAGGAGGGTTTGCGGAGGACAAAGAGAGTGGCGGCGGTGTAGGGGGGTCTGGGGTTGGAGTCGTTCCAGTAGCGATCTCTCTCCATCATCGGCAGATCTCCGTACATATCGTCCACCGCCATCATGGACACCTGCAGAGCAAATCGCAAACAGACACACACAGTTAGATGATTGACAGGACAGAGCATTATAAGACAAATCAGTGACAGTTATATTGAACTTAAATGAAGACACGACGGTGAAGCTCAAATGGGAAATTGAGCTGTATCCAATGAGGGATCTAAAAATGTCAAGTTTTAGGTTAGTGTTCAAGGCAACACATTCAAACAAAGACATTGAGAAAGTATATTATGACAATTTCATTATTTAAAAAGGACGTCGAGAAACCTGGAAGTTTCTGTCTATAAGCCAGTTGGTCTCAAAGTCATCATCGTCTTCTCCAAAAGGGTTGATCAGCTGCTCTGCAACCTGCAGGAGACAGAACATGTAAATAGCTAACGACACGTATCATTGATTTCTACCTTTGTATCGTGCTCAGGTATCACAACAGATGATGTGCGACCCTCTCTCTGACCTTGAGCCAGCCGGCGTAAAAGAAGAACTGCAGCAGGGTGAAGATGGGCACGTACAGGTCCAGGTCGTGACCCGGATAGCCTTGATTGGGGTCCAGGAACTGGCGACCGATCAGACACACCAGGAAAAAACTGTACACGGCCAAAGTCACCACCTGAGGGAAAGATGGAGGCAGTTGGTCACATGA